TTTTATGTACTGGACAGACTGGGGAGAGCACGCTAAGTTGGAGCGTTCAGCAATGGATGGATCAGACCGTGTGGTCCTCATCAGCAACAACTTGGGTTGGCCCAACGGCTTGGCCATCGACATGGCCGGCTCCCAGTTGCTCTGGGCTGATGCTCACACTGAGGTCAGAACTGGCTCCTTATGTCACCGAACAAATCAAAAATTATAATAGGACTAAATCCCTGGCTTGGGTTGTTAAGAACTTGTAATGCTGAAGAAACAGAAATTTAAGTTTGTTCTACTGTTACATTCATTGTCACTCTGGGTCTGAGGAACTGCTCACAATAATAGCAATATTGATCAATTTTGATATAACACTTTTTAACAAAAGAAAAATACTTTAAGAAGAAAAAAAGATCACTAACTGCAGAAATGCAATTCAGAAATTAGTAGAGATTTAAAGTTCAATTAGTAAAAGCTAATTGGCTAAAATGTAAATGCGTACAGATGAAAATCATTTCTCATTATCAAGTCATTGAGTCTCATCTCCTGGCTCCTCTGCAGCGTATTGAGGCAGCTGACCTGAATGGGCAGAATCGCCGCACACTTGTGACTCCAGTCCAGCACCCATATGGTTTAACCCTGCTGGGACCCCACATTTACTGGACTGACTGGCAGAGCCGCAGTATCCAGCGTGCTGACAAGAACACTGGAGCCAACACCATCACGGTGCGAGCCAACCTGCCTGGCCTGATGGATATCCAGGCTGTGGACAGGGAAAAACCACTGGGTGAGTCAGAGCACAGGATATTGAATATTGAACATTCAACGATGTTGTATTTATTGAGTTCCATTATGGAAAGTGTAGGATCCAGAGCATTCAGAGCTTCTTCTTTTCTTTTTAGTGCCACTGTGTCTCTTTTCATTGACCTTTCTTTCTCTGGCCTTTTCAGGATTTAATAAGTGTGGCAGGAGGAACGGGGGCTGCACCCACCTGTGCCTGCCTCGTCCCAATGGCACATCTTGCGCCTGTCCCACAGGCATCTTGCTCAAAGGAGACAGCAGATCTTGTGATGACTCTCCAGAGACATACTTGCTCTTCTCCAACCGTGTCAGTGTGCGTAGAATCTCCCTGGACACCAACGACCACACCGACGTCCACGTACCAGTGCCCGAGCTACACAATGTCATCTCACTCGACTACGACAGTGTAGACGGAAAACTTTACTACACAGATGTCACCCTGGATGTTATAAGGTGAAAATAAAAAAGTCTATAAGAAAACTCTTTTAAAACTTATTAGATAATGGAAACAAGTACAGATTCTGGATAAAGTCTTTGTGTTGTCGCTGTGCCCAAATGAATAAAGTGTAATTTGTTATTTGAATTGTGTGAAGAAAGGAAACACTATGAGCAAGACAGTGACATCGAAAACATGCCTATCAAAAACCATTCAGGCATAATCATTGAACTAAAAGGTTTGCTGACATTAATCAGCCCTATGTCATATCATTTTTCCTTAGGCGTGCAAACCTGGATGGCAGCGGCATGGAGACAGTGATCAGTCAGGGTTTGAAGACCACAGACGGGCTGGCTGTAGATTGGGTGGCAAGGAACATGTATTGGACCGACACGGGGCGCAACACCATCGAGGTGGCCCGGCTGGACGGTACAAGCCGTAAGGTTCTTGTCAACAACAGTTTGGATGAACCCAGAGCCATCGCAGTGTTCCCAAGCAAAGGGTAAGAGAGGGGAGTGTTCATCACCTTCAAATTAGAGTTTGGGTTTTGACTCATTAGCTGTTGACAGACATTTCTTAAGCCTTTTTATTTGTTTTTGAACTGTTCAAAGATGTGTTGAAGCCAGATAATAAACTGTGCTTAAATTAGCAGATGAAAAGGTGGAATATTAACAAAAGCAAAGTTTTTTGCAGTACAAAGGTTCCTCATCAGTTCAGACGTGTCTCTGCAGGTTCCTGTTCTGGACTGACTGGGGTCACATTGCAAAGATTGAGCGATCACACCTGGATGGCTCGGACCGAAAAGTCCTGATCAACACTGACCTGGGCTGGCCTAATGGTCTCACACTAGACTACGACACACGAAGGTCAGAGAGAGAAGCATGTAGGGGGGAAACTACATGTATGGCTTTTTTAATGCTGGAACCTTAAATTAGATTAGATTAGATATGGAAGTTTCATAGTCGAGTGATCTATAAGAGGAAGTCAGATCATCACAGTGTCTGAAGATACAGTATATCAACAAGACTCCAACATGAGAGTCCTGAAGATTATGCAATAAACAGTAATTGTATAACCACTCAATAGACAGAGATTCAGTCACATCATTAAAGGGTTTTACAAATATGACAGTTGGATACACTAAACTTGTACAATACAGTGTATTTCAAAACATCAGCACATACTGCATTCAAAGTGAACAAGACCATTTTATAGTTCAACATTAGGCAATAGTTTCAATATTAACAGTGAGTGGCAGGTGATGTATTACTGCAGGTCCATTTTGTCTATCCAACAGTTTGTTTTCTTGTGTGTATTTAGCATTGCAGCCTCACAGGATGTTTTTATACTATAGTCAGAGGGCTGTACAGTGTATTTACAGGCAGGACTATGTTTATGAATCTGAGATGTTTTCTGCAGGATCTTCTGGGTGGACGCCCACTTGGATAGGATCGAGAGTTCGGACCTAAACGGAAAGCTGCGTCAGGTCCTTGTCAGCCCAGTGTCACATCCATTCGCCCTTACACAGGTACCCCCAAACCTGGCCCTCTTCACTCTCAGCTGTCAATCACTGGGCTGATCCTTCCTCCTGGCTGCCTCCTCCACTCACCTGCTCTCTTTCACTCATTGGCTCACCCCATGCTTTTCACTAGTCGTCTCTCTGTCCTCCGGCTCATACTGAACCCATTCGACTTAACCATTTCTTCTGCTTCTCTTCCACTCTGACCCTCATTTTTCTTCCTCCTCTCTCCCTCCCCTTTCCGTTCCTTTTCTTCCTCCCATGCCCCTGCTCCTTGTCTGTGTTTTTCCTTTCCTCTCTTCTTCTCCCATTTTCCCAGTTGAAGCCGGGGTCCTCCCCTCTAATCCCTTTCTCCCGACTCTCGCAGCAAGACCGCTGGATCTACTGGACAGACTGGCAGACTAAGTCCATTCAGCGGGTGGACAAGCACACGGGGCGTAACAAGGAAACTGTTCTGGCAAACGTGGAGGGCCTCATGGACATTATAGTGGTATCACCTCATAGACAGACAGGTAACAAGGCTTTTCTTCTGACACCTCCAGCTGACATGGGAGTGTGTTTTCCTAGCAATAAAAAAGTCAAATTTTATTTATATAGCCTGATATTAAATTTGCCTCTAGGGGCTTTACAGTCTGTACAGCGCATGGCACACACCATCTGTCCTTAGAACCTTGAGTGCAATAGGAATCACACCACAAAATACATGTTCAAGGATGTGCATCGAATATTATCAGCATCTCATACATTCACAAAAAAATCAAAACAAAAAATTTGTCCAATCAGATTTCTTCTATTTCATTGTCTCCCTGTGGAAATTTGCATCTCACTTTGTATCACCGGACAAAATGACCATAAGTAAAGGAGGAAACTTTCCCTGATTTCTCATTCAGTCACTCAGGCTGTTTGGTGCTAGTTGTAAATGTTCCCTCTCCTCTCCTTTAGGTACCAACCTCTGTGGAGTAAATAATGGCGGCTGCACTCACCTCTGCTTTGCAAAGATCAACAGTTTTGTGTGTGCCTGCCCTGATGAGCCAGATGGGCGACCCTGCTCCACCAGTGAGTGACCACCATGCATTGTGTACTTGACTGTTGTATGTACTAATATTTTGATGTTCAGCTGAAATGAACCTTTACAACATACAGTATTTGTATGCTTTAGTCTTATTCCCATGTGCTTGGCCAGTAAGATTTTTTTTTAATAGCATGATCTTGGCCACAGTTATTCCAGGTTAAAAATAACAAAGAAAGAAAGGTCAAATCTTAATATAGCAGAACCAAATAACCAAAACACTGACAAAGATGAACAAAGCCTCTGGTATTTTCCAGCATACACAGGTTTTGATGTACATGTATATTTATCAGTTTCAGGTTACATCCCCACCTCTGCTGCCCGGGGAACCAGCAGCACACCTGTCCCCAACAAGATCCCCAAAGCTCCAACAGACATGCCACACAGGGGACCCTCACATGTAAAGTATGTCTTTGCCTGTGAATTGCTTTTTGTTGGTATACTTCAGGGCCTCTGCTTCTACTTCTACTTTTTGTTACCTTAAGGCTTTCTGTATTTTTTTTTTTTGGATCACAAGCATAAGGCCTTTTCCCTCTTCTTGCATAAACTAGGCTAGTTTTTTTGTTTTTGTTATTTTTCTTGTTTCAAGATATAATAAAGCTAAATGCAATTCATCCATCCCTACATCCATACATACAGTGGGTACAGAAAGTATTCAGACCCCCTTAAAATTTTCTTTTTTAATAAATCTGCAAAAATGTCAAAAATTCTGTGTTTTTCTGTCAATATGGGGTGCTGTGTGTACATTAATGAGGAAAAAAATGAACTTAAATGATTTTAGCATATGGCTGCAATATAACAAAGAGGGAAAAATTTAAGGGGGTCTGAATACTTTCCATACCAACTGTATTTCAGAATGCTTTCAGATTATCCCAGTGAGAAACACAGTAGTAGAATCGTTGCCAAGTACAGTATTTTGGCATTATTGAATTAAAATATCATGCACAACTCTTGTTGGTAAAACAATTTCAAATAGCACTGTCCACGCAAGATGCTGCCGTTTCATGTGATAGATATACTGAACTACTCAAGTTTGTTCATCTAATTTTAAGAACTTCTTTATAAGAAACAGCAATGATTGGAAAAGGGAAGTTGCTTTTCCTCACTAAAGAAAAAATATTCTGTTCTTAAGCCTCTAAAGGTTTGGTAAATTTGTGTTATGCAAGTATTCATCTTCAACTGAAAAACATTTTTCAGCCAATTACATGAGCTTACAAAAACTCTTCCCTTCAAAGTCTGCAGAGACTTATCTTAAAAAAATCAGTTGTAAATCTATTGGTTAGAATGTACAATATTGCCTCATGCTGGTTTCTGTCTTATATTTTGCAGCTGCACTGACAAGAACGTAAATGTAGAAGGCTGCTCGAGCAATGTGGTGACAGCTCCACACGGTCAGTATATGAAAATGTGATGTCCTCACCAGTTTGCACACTGTACACTCTTAAAGCAACAGTCTGACATTTAGAAAATTCACAATTACCATCTTAATAACATTGATTTATTCATATGTATGAAGTACAGAGATGGGTCCAGGATGTGTCTAGCCCAGCTTAGCTCAAAGACTTGAAGCAGAGGGGAAACTGCTAGCCTAGCTCTGTGAAAAGTTTAAGTGACCACCATTCAGCAGCTTCTTACTTTACACCCTGTGTCTTGTTTATTTAACAACTGAAAACACAAATGGAAAATTCAAACATTGTGGTTTAGGTGAACTTTGATGTAGCTGTTGGTTCCTAGCTTGCTAACTAACAGCTCTGGAGTTCTGAGGTGCTGCATTTTCTATTTTTGATGGATCTTGGCTTTCCCCTGCTTCCAATTCAGCTTTGCAAAAGCCACAGTTACAGTATGTTGTGTGGAAACTACAATAATTTTCATTTTCCAATATCACACAAAGAAATATGGATGCTGAAGTCAACTATCATCATAATATAATTTTTTTTTTATATAGGACTTTTCACAAACAGCTGCAGAGTACAGATTAAACTAAATCAAAGCATCCAATTTTAAAAAGCCATTTTGAAATGGTGATTTTTATAATGCTGTATTTACAAAATGCACAGTATTTTTAACCTTCACAAGGCCAAACTCTGCAGTCATACAACTCTGAGTCAGAGTCTGATGACATTGTTCACTCAGTGTTAAGGTAATAGTATGTAATATTCTTTTAAGCAAAAGCATTGAATTTGCTCTGTAAACATGCCATGTATTATAGGAGAAGGACTTCATATCAGCTATGTGATTGGCGGGGTTCTGACCATCCTGGCTATCCTGATTCTCATTGCTGCCTTCATTATTTACAGGTCAGTCCCCAGCTTGAAAGCTCTTTGTTTTCTTATTCCCTGGAGGTTTTATTTGCATACAGAACATTTGATACACAGTAAATAGTTCAAAATGTAAGCCATGTGCTGTTTTCATCCTGATTTTTATCAACAGACATAAAAAGTCAAAGTTTGCTGACCCAGGAATGAGCAACCTGACCTACAGTAACCCCTCATACCGGACATCCACACAGGAGGTCAAAATCGAGGCGTCACAGAAACCTCCAATATATAACCAGCTGCGATATAAGAAAGAGGTAACGTGCTGTCTAGACACTGAAGTGGAAACAATATGGTTTTTTTTTTTTTTGTTTCGTAGACAAAAGGATTGAATGTGAATCTAGGATACTGTCATAGAATGATCATAGGCTGTGTAGATGTACGGTGGGTGACCACAGAGTCTGATGACTTTTCAGTTTAGTTTTGGTCATACTGGTTGTGTTGAAATATTGTGGTGTGACACAAGCAGCACCCAGACACCAGCACTCACCTTTCCTCCTGTATCTCCCTCACTGCAGCTCTCTCATCCCTACAACTCCCTCTCTCCCTTTATCTTTTGACCCACTTGTCCTGTGGAGAGGTAGTTGCACACAGCATGGGGAAGTCGTGTCCTGTCAAGTTCTGGTTTCTCTGATGTGTCCTCTGCTGTTTTTATTTTTATTCATTTGTTTATTTTTGTCTTTCACTGCATGCAACTTACTACTCAAAATTTAAATAAAATATAATAAAATAATTTTAACACTTTGGTGCGATTTCTAAACACTGCGATCAGTAGCATGTTAATGTTTATACTACTTACCAGGTTTTTTAACTCACATTTCAACAGGCAATGAATCTAAATGTGTGGCTAGATTTTTGTTAAAGGTACAGCATGTCTCATCATTAAACATATCATTTGATTGCCTTCTTTGTGTTGTAATTGTATACCTGTAGCACCTTAATTTGAAAAACTACCTCAGGAAAAAAACAATATTAGTAAAAGGAATCAACTTACTGTGCATGGGTTGTGTTTGAAATCTTGGTTCTGAAGTGTTTTGCAGTTGGCCGATGAATTGATTAAGGGGAAATCCATCTAACATTTTGGTGATGCTTGCATAGCTGATGTCATCATCAATAAACTGTGTTGTTGTTTTTTTTTATCAGATTGAAGGGTACCTAAGGGTGGATTTTCCCTTTAAACCGCTGATATAGAGGCCATCGCTGTGACTGAACTAATCATGTCTTGTTGTCCAGGGGGTTGTGGATGGAGGCTACAAGGAGAAGATCCGTATCGTGGAGGGTGTGTGTCTCCTGTCCAATGACGAGCTTTACTGGGATGACCTAAAACAGATCAAGCCATCCCGAGGTGGCTTACACACCTGCATGCGTACAGACACAGTGTCCCTGCAGGCCAGCAGCGCTTCACTAGACGATGGCGAGACGGAGCAGCTTCTCCAGGAGGAGGCGTCTGAATGCTCTTCCATAACCACTCTGACTCCTTCAGCCATCACCCCACAGCGTCATGTCCAGCACAGCCTGCCTGACACCAGCTGGCCCACCACACGCAAGCCCTCCACTGAGAGCGAAGTGTGAGGGAGGCCCCCCTGCCCCCAGTGCTTTATCTCAACCTCCATTACCTAAAACACACACACACACACCAGCCTGGTACAAACACACAAAGATAAACAGGTACTGTACAGTTAGCAGTTGCATCTGTAGAGTAACACTACATATGAATCTGGTTAGACACAACTTAGCTCCTATAAACACAAGTTACAGTATATCTCTGAAACTGGGGCTCCATCCTACACACAGGCATACACAAACAGTACAGTCCAGTATCTTCAGTGCAGCTGCCTTTAGGCAAAATGATAAACTAATGAGCATGCTGGAATAAGAAAGCAAAGAACTCTGGGGAGGAAGTGAACAGAGAGACACAAGCATTATGTGGAGCCTTTCACAGGATGCAGACTCTGTGTGACAAACGCTTCTCTCTGTGCAGCTTCACCTTTATTAATATTATTTGTATTTTTTGCGAACTTACTCTATGGACAAAATAACCACAATACGCTATCTAATGCCACTCATGTCTTTATAAACTCTATTTATGAATTTGTACTTATAGAGTGGGTTTGCTGACTTTCAGAGAAAGGCAAGTGTCAGGTTAGAACTTTGTGCTGCAGGACTGGGCATTCAAGAGTTGTATTTATGACAGTGCCAAAGGGTGGGGCTTCAGAGTCTCCATGCTTCTTTTAGCATTTACACTTCATTAGAAATGTATCTTAATTATGGATTGTTTGTTCTGGTTGACTTTACTGATTTGCCCTCACCTCAGTGATGACACCTGCTTCTGATTTCTTCTTTTATAGCTTCCAGCAGGTCAGTCAAGAGTTCACTATAGCTGGTACTCTCCTTTGGTTGCATGAGTGCATTCATCCTCCACAAAAGTAACCTAAAAGGAGGCTTTTGTTTGTGTGCGTGTGTGTGTGTGTGTGTGTGTGTGTGTGTGTGTGTGTGTGCGTGTGCGTGTGTAGGTTTTTAAGTTGTAAACTAACCATTGCTGATTCTTGGGCAGAGCAGAGGAAGCTGTGATAAAGTAACAGCCTAAGTGCCAAACATTTCTTTCTTTCTTTTTTTAGCGGTATATTTATTTTTCTCAGAGGTTTTAAAATATACATGTCGCTCTTTTAACTCGGGTTTGGTCACCCAAATCACAGAAAAACGCATATTCTCATTTAACACTACTGTTATTCAGCCCTGCAGATAGTTGTGGTTTTACAAAGCCAATGTGAGACTTATTCTGCCAAAACGTACTGGGGTTTCCTTTGGAACTCCTGCCTCGGTCTCACTGAACGTTTTTTTTAATTGGTCTTTCTAAAATATATATACACACACACACATATATATACAGTGAAACATGATCTTGCCCTCCTCTCTGGTGGGTGTTGAAAAGCATTCTGGGAATTGTAGGAGGTCAGCAACTGTGGAGGGAAAGCTAAATTTTAATATTCATTCATTCATTCATTTTCTACCGCTTAGTCCCTGAACGGGGTCACGGGTGGGGCCAGAGCCAATCCCGGCCGGCAATCGGGCGAAGGCGGGGTACATTTTAATATTTGTGATGTTAAAATAGTTTGAGCAAGAAATCATCCATGACAGCACTTATTATTACAATTTGGAACTCTGATTTTTTTTTTTTTTTTTAGATCCGCAACAATTCATTTTAAGTGCTACCAAAAGCCCATAACTTTGAATTGTCCTTAAAAAAAAATTCTGCACAGGAGGGTGTGTTGCAAGTATTCGTCACCAGTGTTCCCTTATCCGTGATAAACACCACATTCTCATTCAGCTTTTTAGCTGTAATCTCAGCTGTCTAAAATGTATAAGCTCTTCAGTTCTTGCTGTCCATTCTTATAGCTCATAACTTTGATCCACAATGGTCTTATGCTTGTAGGTTTTTAGATGTGTCACTCCAAATGTTATTATGATTTTGAACTAGAGTTTTTTTGTTTCTAGAACATAATCACAGATGTTCCAGTCTCACTTTGGCTCTCTGTTAAAGTTACATAGTTGTGAATTTCAGAGGCGGCTATATCAAGAAACTTGGCACAAATATTTGTGTGGCCAAACACGATTAGTGATAAATGAGAACCTGCTGTTCTTTTTGTAATTTGAGTTTTTAGTAATACAAATGTGCACTTGCAGTATCTGCCACAGTACAGTATAACAAAAGGGTAACTTTGGAACACTGTGCATGTCTGATCCCATCAGACAGTGAGGGTTATAGTTTATAAAAATATCACTGACAACTTTCTGAAAAATGAATTTAATACAAGTAATGGTGTTATGCATCGCTTTAACGTAAAGTACCGTTCTATCTATTGTTGAAATATGGTACAAGGACATACTATATTGTTATACTGACATATATCCGTTAGGCTTCATAGAACCTTGTATTTTAAAGTATCTGCTACTAGTTCAGCAACTTGCTGATTTGCTGCTAGATGAAGCACTGAGGCTGATGAAAGAGGGTCTTGGCAGCTACATAACTATGGTTTCTGAGGGTTGGTTGTCAGTAGGCTGACAGAGAATCACAGCAGCCCAGTAACCAAGTATCCCGCCTCACAGTCCCACCATCTTTGCTGCATGAATTCACAAACTGTACATATTTTATCATGCAGACATAAGCAAACATTTCTGTTGAAGATATTGCATTGATTAAGTTGTATATTATTTTGTACAAATGGATTTTATGAGCGTTTTTAGACGTGTTACTTTTACTCACTGGAGAAGAACATTTTTGTTTATTTGTTTTTGCTGGATTATTTTAACCACTGTGTTTCCAAGCTTTGTAAATGATAGGAAAGATGCCAGTTATTTAATAGTGCTCTTTTTTCTTATGAAATACTGTTTGCATATAGCTGTTGTAAAGTTAACAAAAAGAGATATTTATGATTTCTGTTTGGTTGTCACTTGATGTGTAAATATGAAAAGACTGTATATGTATTTCAGTGGCAGTACTAACATGTGTTGTGTGATATAGTGAATTATCACTTTGCTATCTTTTAATATAAAATTGCATTTGCATTTCAATGAAACGTTTGGCTCACACATCTTTGCACTTGCTGCTCTTATTCAGATGCCTTCCTCATCAGGCACAATGATCAAATATCAGAAAAAAAAATATGTTGTAGTAGTGCAGACAAAGTAGCAGTAGAATTACATTATTTGTAGCACTAGGCTTGTAGAGGGTAACAGGAGCCAATCCCAGCTGACACGAGGTGAGAGGTGGGGTACACCCTGGACAGGTCTCCAGTCCATTCCAGGGCTGATACATATAGACAGAAATTAACATTCACACCCATTTGGAGTCACCAATGAACCTACACTGTAAATTCTAGCAAGTAAGGTTTGCTTAAAAATTGAGGAACCCAATTACTGTGGGGGAAAAAATGAAGTAGACAAACTTAACACTGTCAAGTTGTGTGAAGTGATTGTGTTTTGAATGTTTTACATTTCTCAGTTAGAAGAAGAACTGCAAGAAGAACGTGCAGTTGCAGCTGTTGGAAACACTGTACCAAAGTTAGTACAAAGATAGCATGCAAGGCTGCCCAGGTGGCTTTGTTTATTTGTAAGCATATGAGGGTAGGGACTGAATTCAAGACTAGCCTTTATCATGCTTTGAAACAGGAGGCAATATGTTTGTAAGTTAACAATACACTTCCTAAATAGTGAAATATAATACAGAAAAATGTTACATTTGAATGTGATGTTACACTGTCAAAAATAAAAAATGAAAAACCTATCAATTGATAAAACAAAATTCAGGAAATGAGTATTACCAGTTTTTTTTTCCAGTATCTTAACATAAAGAGTATATGAAAGTTTTTTAAGACTACTCGCCCCTTTAACCCCACTCCCTACCAATCGGTGGTGGTAATGCAGCAGTTCGTTGTTTGCCAACTACCATTATGAAGAAGAAGAATGAAGAAAAAAAAAATGAACGAAACAAGAAGAAAGCTATAATAAACGTAAGCAAAAATGTTTGTTAACAAATGTCTTGTCTTTTCGCCCGATGTGGGTTTGTAACGTATTGCGTGATTAGGTTGACTGTTTTTATTGTAGTCATGTGCAAATGAAGCAATGAACCAGTATTGAACCACTTCATTAATTGTCTCAAAAATAGGTTCATTCATTCAAAGCTTTGTTTCAGTGACATCTAGTGGTGAAATAGGAGACAGCAAAACAATGTTTTAATAATGTGATGAGTGTAACTAGGGTTTGTGTGAATGATGTAAAGACTGTTTGATTAGTCGGTCTGTTGATTCTATAAACGTGTGTAGTGTAGTAGTTGGGGGAAGGTGCGCTTGTGGAAACAGGATGTGCTAAGATGGTAGGGTGCGCTTGTGTAACTAGGGCAGGGTGTGATTATGTACGTTGGATGGAGATGCAAAGATTTTTATTGATGTAGCAGTTCAAGTTTGGAGTTTGGAGCTTGTATCGGAGCATCGGTGTCAGTCGGCCATCACTAGTGAGTAGCAGGCTTTCCCATAGTTTAGTTCCAGTCAGATAAAGTGTATCAAGTGACAATGGGGGAAAATACTTATTGCACATAAGTTATTGCAAAGATGGCAGAATTTACTAACAAAGATCTTAGAGGCAAGAAGGAGGTGACACAATAAATCAGCAACAAAACTGCACTTGTACATTCAGCTCTTTAACTTGTTTTTGATGGTAATGTCTTGATAAAAATATACAGCATCTTACTACTGTAAAAAAAATTAAATTAAATAAAAAAAAAGACTTATTTGTTATCATCATCTTTCATCCACCCTCCTGTGCGCCAGTTTCCCACTGAGCAAGCCTCAACTTGCTAGCAAATGGGTGCACAGCCTAGGAATGAAAAATTTCATCCCAACTGCCAACACCTGCCTCTGCTCGGACCATTTCAGGACCGACTGCTTCAGGGACTACAACGGCAAACAGTTTCTGAGGGAAGATGCCGTCCCCACCATATTCGCTCAGAGACAGGATTCATCGAAGGTGCAGGCTGACAACATTATATAGACTATTCTTCAGACTATAATTCAAGTTTGTTTTCAGTACAAGTCATCCTGTTTTATACTGAGTGAATACTATGAAAATTCCACAGATTGGACTCCGTAAAAGAGGGGTGATACCAAAGGAGACAAATGTGGTGAGTGGGAACATAAGCAGTCAGAGACAGAGTGAGAGAGGCTGCCAATCTACACAAAGACAAAAGAGGAGGAATGAGGGCGAGTGCTCTGTTACTGTTGTCTGTGCTGTGGGTAGATAATGCTTGGTTTATTGTTAGAAAGTGTCATACTATGGTATATAAACAGTATTACTGCATATACAGTATGGACAATATTGTGTGTTTACACTAACTCTGTACTTTTTTTTCTAAGGTTTCTGCGGCTCAGTCTTTCATAAAAGAGGTGGTTCTCCTGCTAGACCATACATCTACACTTGTGCCAAGGTGTGCCACTAAAACTTGGCTATTTGAAAATGGACACATCAAGTCTACTGTGGAATTTAGCTGCATGTGGAGTGCCAATAAAATACCTATTGATTTATAACTAACTCAGCTGCTGATCTATTGTGATACAGCTAGGTAGGTAGTTGTTGATTTGTTGTGATACAGTTAGTTGGTTATCTGTGTTTTAGCTATCTAGCTGCCGACCTATAGAGCTATAAAGTGAGAGAA